TCACTTGTTACATCGTTGTTAGAAATCATATAACAACACATCTCTAACAAAATGGCAATCGAGAGAACCTATTTACAAAAAATAGTAACAAAAAAGTCAACCAGCATTTATTGCATTATATTATTGGCAGTTTTTAAATTTTCTTTTTAAATTATTCTCAAAAAACGTTATGCTATATATACATCATAAATTCATGGATGGGTTTTGTGGATTTAATTTATGTAATTTTAGACTGATGCTTACAATTTTGCAAAAGTGAAAATTCTTTCTCATTTTTAATAAAAATCAATCTGTTGCAATTAGTAAAAAGATATATGTGATAGTATTTTGCTTAATCAAAATTTTCGATTTTATGGTAATCAACCTATTTACCAAAAATAGTAACAAAAAAGTCAACAAGCTTGCATTCTATTTTTAGCAGTTTTTTTAATTTTCTTTTTTAATTATTCTCAAAAAATTGATCTGCTATATATGCATCCTAAATTAATGGGTCTTGTGGATTTAATTTAGATAAACTTTGACTGATGCTTACAATTTTACAAAAGTCAAAATTCTTTCTCATTTTTTATTAAAAAAAATTGATTACCATAAAAAAAATTCGAATTAGGCAAAACACTATCACATATATCTTTTCCTAATTGCAACACATCAGTTGTTTATAAAAAAAAAAAAAAACGGATTGCATAGAAATCGGGCTAATTGAGGTAAAATTCGGCATGACAATTTTGTAAAAGTCAAAAGTCTCTCATTTTTTATTAAAAAGATTTGTTTACCATAAAATCAAGAATTTTGAATTAGGCAAAAATACAATAAAATGTATTTTTACCTAATTGCAACAGATCATGTTTATCAAAAAAAATAAAAAAAAAAATAATAGGATTGCATTCAAATTAGGCCCATTTTCAAATTGAAAATTAAAATTAAAAATTCCTTATCATTTGGCTACTATTCTCTTTAGTTCGGATTTTTGTAAACATAAAACAAAGTCAATTAATATTAATTTGGAATTGAAAATGAAATCGGACGGAACATTTGAAAATTTTGGGTTTTGTTTAATCCTTTATAATACATATTTGAAATTGATTACATACACTTAACAATTTTTTTTCCTTCATTAAGTTGAGTAATTTACAATTTTAAAATAATAAGACTATAGATTATCAAGAAAGACAATACAATCCCTATTATATTTGACTATGCAATACGATAGACGATGTACCAAAAGAGTAAATAAATAATTCAATCATTCAAATTTAAATGCTGATCTTAACAAAATTAGCTCGTACATCGCACGAGTACCGAACTAGTAAGTAAATTATACAGATTCTTTTTTTAAAAAAAAAACTTGACAATACTATAAAGAAAAACTGAAAAAAGTAGAAAAAAAAAAATGACGACTATCAAATTTATTACGACTGTCAAAATTTCCTTTTAACTAGTTATCTTCCTGTGCACATGCACAGATGTACATAAAATATTATAAGTAATATGTGTGAATTTAATATTAAAATTATAAATGATAAACATATCACAATTTCAAGATATGTGAATTTAATATTAAAATTCTAGATAATAAACATATCACATTTTCAAGACATGTGAATTTAATATTAAAATTCTAGATAATGGACATACCACATTTCAAGATTTAATCATTCGTAAAAATAAAATAATATTTATATAAATTATTTGAGTACATATGAATCACTATATAGATTAAAAAAATTGTGGGTAATGTAATTTTTATAATTTGGAGGGATCATGGTCAAATAATTTACGTGAAAACTTTATAATGATAATAATAATAATAATGATAATAATAATAATAATAATAATAATAATAATAATAATAATAATAATAATAATGATAGTAATAATAATAATTACTATTCTTCTTACAACGACAATTGTTTATAAGATTTTAAAGTTTTTTTTTATATTAAAACTATTTACTAATTGTTTCTAAAGAAAATTGTTTCATGAAATACAAAATAATAATAATAATAATAATAATAATAATAATAATAATAATAATAATAATAATAATAATAATAATAATAATATCATTCATAAAACCTAATTAAGTGTAATCATGTATTTACCAACTCATAATATTTCACACTAAATATAAATTATATAAGTATAAACAATTTTATTGTTTCAAGATATTATTATTATTATTGGAGGGAAAATAAATGAGGTTTTATTAATTAGGTTTTATTTATGAGGTTTTATTTAATGATTAGCTAGCAATTATATATATATAGATAACACAAAACCTTTTGTGTAAATATTGATATTCTATTTTAAATAAATGCTCAACAGATTTATGTATCAATATTGGTCACCTTACTTTCCAAAATATATAAAATAAATATCATTTAATTGAGAAAATGCAAACCAAAATCAACATGAATAATAATTTCGTAAATGAAGTAAAGGCTAATTAAACTATTAAAGAGTAAAAAATCCCATCAATATTCCCCAAAGGATAAAGTGCACAAAGTACAAATTTTAGCCCCACACATTTGCACAAAAAATTCTCAAAATATGATTTCTTTTTTTATTTCATTTTTAAAATATGATATTTGTTTGAAATTGCGTAAGTTTAAATTTGTTTGAAATAAATTATTTCAATATGAAAAATGAATGAAAAAAAATCATATTTTGATATTCAAGCATTTCATTTTAAAATATACAAATATTATAATGATTCTAAAGTACCATTTTTATAAGAACATGTGTAACAGCAACAATTGAAAAACATTAGAATATTCAAGTATATTCGATTTATTCATCCTATATATCAGTTCAAAATGTGTTGAGCCTATGCGACAGATTCACACGCTTCGAATGATGACATGACAAATATCTATATTTCTGAATGTTGTTTGTATATTAGTTTTTTGATTTGAAATTAGACTTGGTATAGACATAAATAAAATTTTTCAAGCTTGATAAGTAGACATTTAATTTTGTTATTTTTTTCTGTTAGTACAAATTTTCTTCTTAATTTGAGCAAGTAGAAAATTTACCATCTTATAATTTTTTCCCATATTTCTTTCATAAATTACACATTATTATTTACAAATCACTTTATGCACTGTATTTCTCTCTCTCTCTCTCTCTCTCTCTTTTTTTTTCTTTTTTTTTTCGTTCATTGATTAGCCCATCAAAATTTTTATATAAATTTTTTATTTAGCAACAACTTTTATAATATATTTTTTAACTCAACACCCGTGTAGTACACATATATTGTATTAGTTATATACTAATTCAAAACGCACATAGCCTAAATAGTATGCTCACACGCTTTGGAATCATACGTGTCAAACTATTATGCTTCGTATCTAGGTTCGGATAAAAAATTTGGAAATATAACCAGCTTGGAATCAACCATAAATAACTATTTCATCTTAAATTATATCTTTTCCATGTTTTATATCATTCAAAAATACATTTTATATCAATCTTTAATAGCATAAATTTAATTCATAAAATAGAGTATATATCTATATTGAATAAAGTAATTTTAATTGAGTTTTTAAATTACCTATTAATTAATATTAATTCAAAAAGATATAATTATTTAAACTAACATAACTAAGTTATTTAATATGAATTAATAATTTATATAATATAAAATGTTAAATCGTGTAAATAACTGTATCAATTAAATATAAATAATAATATGCTTTTCAAAAAATATTTAAAAACTAAAACAATTTTTGTTATTATTATTTAATTTTAAATATAATTTTTTTCTACCCGTAGAGACACACGTATATTGTACAATTTAAATTTAAACCACACACGTATTTTGTATTTCAAGATACAAAAAACACACACACACACACACACACACACACACACAGTGTCACCGCCTCCGCCCACCCAACCCCTAAAAACACAAAAAAAAAAACCTTGAAAATATTAAAAATATATATAATTATTATAAAAAAAAAACATTTGTATTTTTTAATATATATACTACTCTCCCCATATAAACGCTGCCCTACATTCTGATTTTCCGCTTCATCACCAACTAAAGAACCCATTTTAATTTTTTTTTTTTTTATTTTTTTTCATATTTTTTTCTTCTCTCTCGCACTTTCTTATATTTCCAAAAGCTCATCAATTTTTCTCTGTGGCCCTTTCATTCTTTCAAGCAATTTAATGGCGTAATTGCTGAGTACCCTTTGGTCTTCTGATTTGTTTTTATAAGTCACCGTTTGGTTCGTATTTTGCAGTCTCCGAAGAAGAAGATGGGCAGCACGAAGGGTATCAGTCTCGA